CCTTGTGCTTGCGGTAATAAAAAGTGACATCGATTTTCAATGTTCAAATTGCTTTTTTATATATTCGTCTTCTATTATTCGTGTAACCGGTGTAGGTTCTAATAACACTCTGTCTTTAACTTTTTGTAATACTAATAAACGTTTAGTACGTTGATAATTTGGTGGATGATTATGTTCAGCATAATTTGAACCTTTATATCCATTTGAATCAATAGAGATATAAATAAATGATCGACACCCAGCATCCTTTCTTGAGCACCGAAATTTACGTTGATTTTTTTAAACAGATTGTGACATAAACTCGCAAGTAAATCCGCACATACATAGTCTATCATTGCCACGATTCGTTTTACACCATTCGATTTCACCGCTTGCAACTGGCCATGATGTTAATGTATCGAGAATACATTCTATTCCGCAATGTTAAACATTCCGGAACCAGTTCCATCTAATTTCAGGAATTCAGTGCCCCCACACTGACATCCACACCCACACCCCTAAAGATAGAGGTTTCAGAAATGATCACCAGCAAAAATAGCTGGAGTGATCCGAATTACCCCAGCTGGATTTTCAATTGATTGATAGAGGTGTTCTTGCTGTGAGTATTGCATTACAACTGCCTGTTCGATCGTCGAGATATTTTCAGGTCCGATAGAGGACACTTAGGGCTATCGAATGGCGTATTTGGTTTTAACAAGTACGAATAAAAAAAGAGTTAGGAGATGGAGAAAATGAGCCAAGCAGTTTTTGCTATAGTGATCCGAATTACCCACCTATATTCATAGAGTGAAATGAATTGCTCCATGTCGGGTAATTCAGATCAGTTCCACACTACTTTTTCAGTTTTCACTGATACTTTTTACCAGTATAATATTTTTCGATGATTCTTTCGTGAGTCGATAGAGGACACTTTGAACTAGCAGTGATAAAAAAAAATCATCATTGTAGAATGTAAGATGACTGAGAACGAACAAAAACAAAATGAATTTTCAAAACTTTGATCCGAATTACCTCAGGGGACTCTACTTATCAAGATCTCATTGCAGCCTAAATTTTAGTTCTCTCATATGATTCGTTCAAGCCGATAGGTACACGCATCAAATCACAAAAAGTAATAAATTTTTCATGAATTTTGCTGTTGCAGTCAGCTCTTTCACGATTCAAGCATTTGAGTTCGTTTCTTTTGGGAAATATACAAGTAACGTAAATCGAAAATCGATTCACTGGGCCCTAGACTGACAGAATTCATAAATACAAATATATGAACAGTCCACTTCGTCGGTTGTTTACTCCAAAGATCCTGAAATTTCCAAAAAGCTGGCTGAATAAATTCAACGGAGACATGGAAGCCGGAGGGCGAATAAGTGAAAGTGAGGTACCGGTGAGCAGAAAATGAAAAATTTCTAAGAACTATGAATAAGAACGCAGCGAAAATGAGGGCAAAAGACAGGTGCGAAGCAGTGCCTGAACTCCGATTTTGTCTCTGATGGGGGAGGGGAGGGGTAAAAACTCACAGCCACCTAGCTAATACGACACACTGTTGATAATTCCCGCGAGGCGGCTTAAATATCTTTAAGAAGCGGGGAGGGTTGACTTTCACCTAGCTACTGAGTCACAGCGTTTAAAAATATAACCAAGGACGGACCAAAGTTTCTTATGGGAATTCGGGCTGCCCATTCACTTGATTTGTCATCAGAACTGACTCCTCTGCGTGCCCTCTTCGTGGATCCGCCAGTAAAATCTGTCATGAGATTGGTCATTTGTACCACAGAAATGGTCATTTGTGCCAGTGTTACAGACAGACAGACACAGGTGAATTACGGTTTCCAGACCCTATCCTTTCAGTCTAGGGTACATCCACTAGAGGTAGACTGACACCAAATATTTCAACTTAAATGAATGAAATTTTGAAAAAATATCGATATTAGAAAAAGTTGTAAAGAATGTCATTTTTTTAGGAGAGTGCGCTCAGAAAAAATCGAATATCTCGGGAAGGGAACAGTACTTTTTGAGACGGCTTGCGCAGAAATTCATTAAACTATTGCCCCTACAAACGTATACAGAAACAAGTCGAATCAGTTTTTACCGATTGAGCAGGGTCGAACGTGGCTTACGCGGAATGGCTCATATGTTAGTAAGCATTAGTGGAAGGAGTTTTCCGACAGATGAAAATCATTTCATTAGTTTTTTGTTCAGTTTATATCAGTAGAATAATGATATTTATAGTCATGATTAGAAGAGTAACTAGGATATGAACGCTTTAATTTCACTTGAAAAATTCATTTTTGTTATTAATCAGAATGTTATCAGATCGTTCCATAGCGGACTTAGTATGTATGTTCAATGGATCATTATCTTAGCCATAGGAACATTTCAGAAAGTTTATGCATCTTTATCTTAGCCATAGGAACATTTCAGAAAGTTTATGCATCTTTATCCATATACAATAAATTTTACGATGAAACTACATGTAACTTAGATTATTTTCAATAAATGAAGTCTTGTCACACAGATACTTGTGTCAAAATTCTACTCTTCTATGTTTTATTTATCTTTTACACTTAAAACACTTAGCAATTTTTATATTTTCCCAATATACTTATATCTTGTTTTCTTAGCTGTTCTCATTATGGCTTTTATATTTCTAATTGTAGCATTTCATTTAAAATAAACATAAGGATACAAAGAAATCACTCAGTTTTGTCAAAATATTTACATAAAAATTTCCAACTTAAGACATTTTTCATTGCTATAGCGATTGCGTGCCAAAGAGACTTCTGTAAATTGTTATTCTGGGAAAATTTAGTAAGAATATGTGAGTATATGCTACATATTTACTGAGACAATTTGTAAATGTTAGATTTTCCTATGGTGTTGGGCAGAAGCGAAAAATATTTTAAAAGCTCCTAGTTTGCCGAGGTGATTTACCTTCATTCCTACCTCTCGATGTCTTTACATATTTCTCCCTTATTATACCCGTGTTGTCGTTGTTCTCTCTCCCTCTCTTCTTTTTTCTCTTCTCTTCTTTGTTGTGGTTAATATATATGTACGCGCGATCAGGAACAAAAAATATATACTAAAAAAAAACGTAAAGCTCGACGAAGCGAGCTCACAGCTTAAATTATTTGCTTTCTATTCCCCGTTTCTTTCTCCGTGGTAGGAAGTCGTTATTGGTTCAATAAATAGCGATTCACATATTGTTTACAGTGTGACGAGATGGTTTTCTAGCGAAGGGGGAAAAGGCGGCTTTGGCATTTTGAAAATATAAAACGTGAATGATGGAATTTCCATCTGAATTTTTTCCCATGCGTAAGTCTCATGATCCTTAGAATATTCTAAAATTTTCAGCGCAAACAGATGTTTCCTTCTCAAGATAATGAACGCACAAGAAATACTCATTTCACGGCACGATCAGAAAATCCAGTTTTTTTTGAAAATTCAATATTTTAAGAAGGCAACATTTGTTCGTGTTGAAATTTTTAGGATCTTATATGGACCGTGAAACCTATATATGGGAAGAATTTCAGGTCGAAACTACGTCATTCACAGAGGGAAAATGCTTTTCAATTTATGGGATTTTCAAAATCCAAAAAGTCCGCCTTTTCCCCCGTAGGTCTAGCCTTATCGTGTTTCACACTTTAATCTCAGATAGGTCTTGCGCTAGCATTTTTATTGATAGAGAGAATTATTTTCCTACTATATATAGTGGAAAAGAATGCTTTTGTCGTTGTAGAATGATATCAAATAAACGAGCATTATCCATTGCAGCAGCTACTCTACTAATTGTTGCTTGTGCATTTTATGCTGCAAGCGTTGCTACTCCATTATGGTAAGTATGACGTTCACATGCAGTCTAATTTGTGTGACACGTAAACGAGAGTGGATTTTGGAGTACAGAATTATCTCTATGAAACAAGTTTTTAATTGATGATTAGATGATTGATTTTTGCCAACAACTTCAGTTCATAGATTAACTAATTTTCAAACTGATGATGTACTTATTCATATATTTCTCTACTTGTGAGACCACAAGAACTTACCTTGTATAGTTCCATAGGCGGGATGGGTTCAAGTTTTTTTTTAAATTTACACTGAACTAAAATTGAAATTTCTTGCGGAAAACCGAAAAATAAATTTTTTATAATAACAGTCATTTATTTTATTTTTCGTTTCAAATTTCAAATAATCTTCTTAATGTCAAAACACAAAATATACACGAATATTTTCGATTGACTTTATTAACGAGTGGAAACTATGATATGTACGCATGTAATGTAATAATATTAACATCAGTCACCATAAGTATATTATGGTAAGGATTCTTTCTGGAAACTAATTTGTGAAAGAAAAACTGAAATCGAGTTCTTATCACAGAAAAATGCGTGGGAATCGCCTCTTTCAGAATATATATTGTTTTTTTGTAAAATAGACAGATTGTGACATACTTATTAGCAAAATCCTGGCTCCTACTATCACATTCTTCGAGTTTATATTATATCATATTTTAAATAAAAATTACACATTTCGAGCTTATCCTCAATGTATAGATCAAATTCACGTATGTTGCGCAAAAATCGATTTTTAAATATTTCTGGAGTTTTTCTCGAAGCACCACTTTCAGACAGGAAAACTGAAGTACATAATTATTATCCGGGTGGACATATCACCGATGTTTTCGAACATAATGTTCGCTGAAATGTTCATAAAAATGAATGTGTGAGAATTTTAAAATACTGTTCGATGAAAAGTTGGGTGCAAGAGCCTATCTTTAATTTGAAATCAGCCTGAGCTCTGCATCTATTATACCCTATACCCACTCCTACTGCATGCCTCTATACATTCTTTATGTCAATTGTAGGGGCACGCAATAATATCTCGGGTTATATCAGATTACAGTGGGTCTATGGAGATATTGTCTCGATTCGACATGTGCTGACGTTGGAAGTTCATGCGACACCACTCTTAGCGGCTGTTCGAAATTACTCGCTACAAGAGCATTCATGATATTGGCTTGCGTGATTCCTGCGTTTACTGTGATTATTCTGGTTGTTATGGCTATTAAGGACCAATATGACCGTCCACTAATCTATGCTTCGATAGCCCTTGCTTGGCTGTCCACGGCTTGTGGTCTCATCGGAATGGTTATAGGCATTTACTGGACTCTACATGGCACAGGCCTCACACTTGGTGCAAGCGGCATTGCAGCCATTGTTGGCGTTTCTATTAATTTTATAGGCGCTGCGCTTACTAGTGCCCTGGCAGCACTCTGAATTTACAATACAGAGATTGTTTCATTGACTATTTAATAAGACCTTTTTTTTGTTCACTTAAATTTTACTCTCCAAAGCAAATCGGCACCCTATAAAAAATTTTAATGTTCTCAATCATTGTAGGTTTCGTAGATGTTGCGGAATTTTAAAGGGTTCGGTAGCATAACAATTTGTTTTAGAGTGTACACTCTACCAATGTCATTGAATATTTACTGGATTGGTTTGCTCATTCAGATAACATTTCTCGAACCCTAGAATACAACACAAGATTTTACTGCAGCAACATTCATGCTGTCCAACATATATGATGCATCCAGTATTTAACATACTCTAGACAGTCGTCGATCCTCACCACAAGATGATGACAATTTGAGCAATAGGTGAAGCGCGACATACGGAGCTCGAAATTATTATTTCGGGAATACTCGCTTGTTCTTAGATTTAGTTGGGATATGACCTTTTTATTCACAGAGAAGAAATAGATGAAAATAAAAGATAGATTTCTCGTATTAAGAGTCATGCTATTCTTTATAAGGTCGATAAATCGGTCTAAGGCAAAACGCAGAAAAATTATATTCATGTAGTCACCCTGTATTTAAGTGCCTCTTTAGCTTCTTCAATTCGTTTTAAAATCAGTCTTTGTTTTCGCTTATTATTATCGGAAGTTAGCTCTAATATTGGCAATGCTTCCTTAAATGATGCCAATGCCATGCTATAATTCCCAAGAATCATATGAAGTAAACCAATATCACGTAATATTTCGTAATTATAAAATGAGTTCATATTATTATCTCGTTTCATTTTCACACTTTGTTCTAAGAGTTTAACTGCCAATTTGTAATTACCATTTATTATATGAATGTATCCCATCCGCCCCAAGCATATGTTTTGAACATTGTTGGTATTCACCCAATGGGAAATCACGCTTTCCGATAGAAATTGAACTTTTTCATAGAAGCGAACAGTTTTGTTGCTGTCATCTGCACTATCATAAGTATTCGCCACTAAATCACGAAGGTACGTCGTTAAATATTCAGTATGATTGTACCCAGAGAGAAAAGATCGAGGAAATACTATCAGTATTTCTTTCACTGCCTCCAAAGAAAGCTAAGCGGTAATCACCATCATGATCAAGGATTTGGCTGAAACTAGTCAAAACAGTTTGATCTTTTTTTTCTTCGCTTCGATTCGTTTCTCTTCGGCTTGTAAGTCTTCCTTACGGACAGGATAACGAAGCTCGCGTTTCATTAAATTCATCGCAGACTCACAACTATTGGCCACAACTGAGTATTCCGACCATTCAGATACGTGCGGCTCTAGTGGATTCCATTGCACTAGCCTGAGTCCGAGCTTTTCTGTTAGAAGACTCAAAAGATTATCATGATCAGTTGGATCAAACTCAATCTTCTGAATAGTTAATAGTTTCGCAAAATATTTTAAAGCGTCATCGATTTAATTGTTTTCGTAGAGTAGCTGTGTGATGTTGCCCAAGCTTTGAATAATACCATTATGATCTGATGAAAGTAGTTGCTTTCTAATGTTTAACGATTCTTGAAAATCGTCTAATGCTTCATCAACGGATTCCAACTTCCAATGTTAGATGGTGTGGGTGTGGATGTTGACAGGCATTTATATAAGCTGTATTTATACCAAAAGTCAAGTCCACACCCACAGCATCAGAATGTTTTAATTTAAACTTTATTCAAGCCAGCGAGCATTACAGAACCATGGATGCTGTATGCAATAGTAGAAAATTGAAAACTCAGTTGAAACGAGGTTTCAAGTTTGACGCTACTGTTGATTTCCAGGATAGAAATCGGTTTGTTTCTACTTGCTTCCTCCAGAAAAGGACGCAACTAGAAAAAAAGGTTCTGGAGTTATATTTTTATAGACAAAAAAATTCATCTCGATAGTTCTTTAAAAAAACACATGTTTTTTCGAACATATCGCACACGATATTAATCAGTCATCTTTGATCACTTTATTCAAGAGAAATATAATTTGAAGTTTTGAAAAGCAGCTTTTGATGAACTGAATGATTTGAAAACCAGAGATCTGATGATCGTGCATTTGGATGTCCAATCTTTTGATTGCTACAATATTAATATCATTCGCGGCTCATATGAGGCGACTCGTAAAATACTATCAATTATTTTTATACGTTTCTGATAATGTTCTATAATAATTGCTTTTTTTTTTCCCAGTATTTATTGAAGGACAAAAAGAAAAAGAACGAGAATAAAAAAGAATTGCAACTATGGTCTATGCCTATTATACAACACAGTAAAATGAAAGAACAAGAAAAAAAACCATTGGTTATATTCTGGTTTGGATCAAACATTGCTTTCTAACGGCACAAATTTATCGATTATGGCTTGTTGATGTATAAAACATTTTATTAAAATATGTACAAAACAAAAAACAGCAGCAATTCTTAGCTAATAAAACATGCTTGTTTTATAGACAACAAGGTGAGAACATATTTCAAATTCTTTAACACGCCTTAATTTTTCAAAGAAATTAAATAAATTTGTCATTTTAATCTTAATCTCCATATTGACTAGTGTTACTTCATACAAGTGAGGCATATCATAAAAAAGACGCGAACAACGCCAATTATTTTATTCCCGTTTGCTTATTTCTTCTTTTAAATAAAAACTTTGATTGGTTTTTTCAAACTTTTCTCAAATCAATAAAATATTTGTCCTCAAACAATTTTTTAGGTAAGTTCATTAATTTCCACGAAAATAAAAACCAAAGTTTTTCCTTTTTTGTGATTATGAAATTAATTTTCTCTACCGTAAAATTGATTAGTTTAAACAAAACCAAAATCCTCTTCAATCAGAAATATTGTTTTTGTTCATTTGCATCATTTTCAATTCATTTTTTTCTGGCATTTGATTTATGCCGTGCTTACTGCGAAATTTCAGGAAAAATCGTTTAACTAAGAAAATAAAACTATTTCAGAAGCATTCAGATCGATTTTTGTACATGAAGAATGTCAGCTTCCAAGAAAAAAAGTAGGTTAATCAACTGTAATTATTTTAAAGTCTATCTTGAGTGCAAATTTCAGCGCTAATGATTGACTTGCTACTGAGTACTGCTTTAGATATTGCTTTGAAAGCGCATAAGAATTATATGCGTATATTATCATATTGGCTCAATATTTTCTAACTATCTCGAAGAATGACCGATTTTGATAACTTAACAGCAGAAATACCAAACGATATTGTTTTAAACTTTTTTTCGAGATAAACTTAAATTTCCTTGGAACAGACTTTTTTCATGTGGTTTTGACTCGTATTTGAAAGATTTTATTCGAAAAAAAGTACGATTTCAATCAAAGCCAATCACATATTTAGAATGAAAATAAAAAAACTTAGTTGGCTTATGTGTTTCGAAGTTTACCATCGAGCTTCGTTGTTCTTTAAAAACGTTCTGTTGAAAGATTGCGTTGAATTCAGTAAAAAAATCATCTTTAAATTGAATCCTCACAGGTATCCGAACTAAATTTTTCGATGAAAAAAGCGCGACATCAAATGTCGAAAGCCATATAGATTGTGTCAATATTTGTCAATCATTTTCAAATAATTATGCTATTGCTTCAACTCAAATTTATCGTTTTCTTCATAATATATTTTCAATTATGATTTAAATCACCGATAAAATAGGCGAATCCGTTAGTAAATATAATAAGTTCTCATTACATTAAATTAAAGATAAGCATAGAAATCAAAATATTTTATAGTGCTCTTCAACTATGTGGTATTTATTATGAGAATGATATATGTATCAACTTTTTGCTGCTGTTCTCTCGTTCATTATTAGCTAGATGTCAATAAGTAGGATAGGAGTGAGAAAAAAGGGTTGGAGCGACAAGAAGACCTAGAACCAGAAGCTAAAGCAGCTTTGCCAGTATAATTGTTTCATTTTCTTCGTCATTTTTTCTGACATGTTCTTTGAAGTTCTAATCAATGTTTTGTTGAATTGTTTTCCTTTTCACTGAAATTTATTTTTCAGATATTAAAATCTCTATTTTATATCGATCAAATTTGTATTGGTTACTGAAGTAAGTTATTATTCACTGAACGATATTCATATCAGTACTCAACAACAAGTCAATCGTTTGAGCCGAGATTTGCGTCTAAGACAAACTGTCAGATGATTATAACCTGTTGACACAGTTCTTCATTCGAAATGAGCTTTTTTACGAGAAATTTTACATATCACCTCACTCACTTAACTATTAATCATTGATTTATTATACAAAAGTCGATGTGCATCTTTTTGAGAAAAATGAGTCTGCATGCTTTTGAAGTAACTTTACTTTGTTAGCAAACGATTTCTCGTAAAACTATACATCAAACAAGCCATGAATCAACCGTTCAGATATGATGCTTGTGTGCTTCTTTTTTTTTTGAAGATCAAGCCATTTTTATCGAAAGAAAATTACATATTTGAAATGAGAATTCTCCTTTGTATTATTAATCATGTTAATAAAAGAGTTCATAAAGATGAAATTCTGTAAAATAAATCACTGAAAACATTCAACTTTATCCGAATACTTTTTATCATTTGTTTTAAATAGAAATAAATTTTTTAAGATTGAAGATGTCATTATTAAGAAACGATGAACTGAATAAAAATAAACATTCGAATACTCGTTATCCTCGTCGACGTTATGTTCTTGAAATTCCTAATTATTCAAAACGAATGCAAACATCAAATTATTCAAAAAATGAAGAAAAATTTCTTTCACATCGGGCAATAAATCAATTAACATGTGGCAATAATAACGAACAAATTTTGGAAATTGATTTAAATAACGATTTATATTTAAATCGTAAATATAATAAAAAAAAATTATTAAATACTGAATATGAAAATATTGATGATCCATGGGTGAAACAATTACTTGAAAAGGACCTCGATTTCTCTAGTTTATATCAACAAGAATCACCGATTCAAATATTAAATATTAGTGATTTTCAAATAACGAATTCAAATTCAACGTCACAGAAATTTTCTCATCATAGAAACACTACTTTCGATCCATACCAATCTCCTTCTATTATTAAAGATAGGAATAAAATAATAAGTTCAAATTCAGCTCAATGTAGGATTAAAATTAATATCCGATCTATTTTGTGTTTCCTTTAAATTGATTTGTTTAATAGTAAATGGTTCAACTCGAAAATGGATTCTTCAGCCATCGACTTATTCACCAATAAACTCGAATAATTCTTCTTTCAACAAAAAAATTCCTTTACCATACAAAGGAAAATTCAATTCAAGACAATTTGGTCCCCTAAAAACTAACACTAATGAAGAAAAGAGTCTATTACGACACGAAAACAATTCAGTTCATGTGAAACATCAAAGAAATAACAATGAACCGTACGTGTTTTAAGATTCATTTTTTTATTTACGAAATTATAGAAAAAAACATTTTCACTAAGTAGATTCACTTCAAATGAAAAGAAGAGTGTAGAGTTTTTTTTTATAGAACTAAAAATCCATTTTGCTCAGTTGATATGAATCAGGTTCTTACACAAATCAAGATCTTTCGCACATGACAGCCTCTCTTATCAATTTCTTATACTTTCCTCATAGATTTCTGAATTTTAACAGATGTCAACTTGAAGTTTTCTTCGTAGCACTCTGCATATTTTATTAGCTTCTAACGATAATCAACCACCTGTTCAAATTCTTTTAAATTTCTTCCGTTTGCACTGATTATGCGTTCACAAATAGTTGAGCTTCCCATAGCCATTTTTCCAATAAATTATGCTGTGAGTAAGTCAATGGCTACATGTCCTACCAGTATAATAGTGATTCTTCTTTAGTAAAAGTTATTTTCGTTTTAGCATAACAACCAGTTTCTCCTAAGTCAGAAAGCTCGTAGGGGTGTCTTCCATGTGGATGTGAAGTTTCTATTTGCTCACATCCGCATCTAGTGCAACAGCAAGGAGAGAGTAGCATTCAATTTTATTTGCTGCAGACCACTTTGCCATTCATCAATTTCACTAGTCAACTTAATTGAATTAGTTGACAATGACGAGTGTTTATGACACCGAACAGCAAAGAATTATCGAGAGCATCAAATGAATTACCGACGCAAAATATGGCAATCTAAAATTGATTGCAGAGAAAATTGTTCTCGTTGTGCAAGTTGTCACAGAGTGATAGAAAACTTCGTATGATAATTGCTTTGTTGACGAGGATGAAAGATACCGCGAAATAGTTGAAAACCAAACATGCATTGAGATTTTTATAATTTTCGCTGTTAAAAAGTTACATTGGATAATTAAAAATAAAGCGGAATCTTAGTCTAGATACGATTGTAGCCATAGGTGGCGGAGCCATTAGGCTCGCGAGGCTCAAGTCTACCCTAAGATAGAAGTTGGTAGACGTTGATAGACTGAAACTGGAACAGATACATGTTTAGATAGGTTGTAATATGCAAAATGGTTTTTATTCTTGTTTAGTTTTGGAACTTTTCTAACAAATAACGCATTATTAGAAGATCATTTCATATTTTCTCTACTAGTAACTCGTTCGCAGTGAAGTATTAGTTGAAGTTTTTTGGCATTAAAATTGACAACCAATTCGTAATTCTTAATTGAAGATAGCTAAATTGTTTCTGTAACTTCTGTTTAAAATTACTTTTAAATCTTAGACACTCGAATAACATTACTTGGGCCGTGCAGAAATGCGAGCTAAACAAAAATGATTAAAAGACAATCAAAATCGTATGCTTATAGTTGACACTTAAAGTGCTTTTAGTCGATTTCAGTCTGACTTCATCTCTATTTGTGTTTTCAATGGTGAGACTTGATTTGTCCAACACGTTGAGCCTACCCTAGATCGAAATCGTTTCACCGCCAATGATTGTAGTGATACTAATTTAATGCAATACGTATTTCCATTCGTCAAAGATAAAGAACAGTATGCGAGTACATAAGACTCAAAATTTGCTTCAAGACAACAAGAGCACCTTTTGCGGAACGACATATGGTTTGAATACAGTTGAACATATTGGAACAATAGAAAAAAAAATAAAAGTTGAGCAAAAAATGTTATCAAAAATGGAATATAGTCATTATCAGGGGAAAACCATCTGTTATATGCTGTGACAAAGACGGAACTAAACACTGAGTTATTTGAAACGTCCTTCTATTATTATCGATTACGTCATACTAATTAATGATTTTATTCATCAAATCTTCAATAATAAAACCAATCTATGTCATCAATTATTTTGAGTCAGACCTAGGTGCAATTACCCCACGACAGGAATGTTATCATACTAAAAAAGCTAAATGCTATTGATGCTATTTAAAATTATAGCGTTACTCATCTAAAGAAGACATAGTTGCACACCCTGTAGAATACTCGCCTCATTAACAGCATAAGGCAAACAGAGAAGTAATGCGTTACTGAAGAGCAAAAGAATATTGAAAACAATTCTGATTTACAGTAAAGTTCAACTCAATATAAATCTGAGCACTGCCAAAAAAAAGCTAACCAATTAATTTAAGACTAGAGATTTTCACAGGAAAAAAATTATTAAAGCATAATTATACTAACAATATAAACTATTTGATGAAGATGTAATACATAGAAGTAATAAGGAATTTTTCAGATTTGTGATATATGTATTTAGTCGAAATGAGAACTTTCATACAGAAAATATTCCTTCGAAACTACACACCGATTTGTTTTCATATTTTAAAAGTCTAACGCTGATATTTTTCATTTAACAAAAAAACAAAAGCTAAGGCGATATATAACCCTGAAGAAATATATTTAAATTCTATTTATTAACAACTTGATTGCATTCGTTGACGAAATTATTTTCGGTAGGAATAAATTTAAATCAATATAAAAGTATTCAAATCATAAGAAATTTCTCTTTCAATTATTTTATTTTAGTACAAAAGAAAATATTAATGATGGAAAAAATGAAACGAATAATATTTGGAATTTATTTTCGTCTAGAGAAAAACGAAATATATTTATTTATATATTTGGAATAATGCTGTATAAATTTGGAATCGAAGCATTTAATGGATCAATAGTGAGCTTAGCAGCAAATCGTTATGATCGAGATGCATTTAATAGTGGAACCATAGCAAAAACATTTGAAAAAGTTGGTTTATTAGTTGGTCTTAATCAGGCGTGTCAGTGTATTGGATCTATTTTAATTGCTCCATTAATAAAACGTTGGCCAACACGAACTATTTTATCGATATCAATATTCATTTTTGCATTATTTACTGCATTACTGATGATTATTGATGCAGCAACTGGAGGAAAAATAAGACCATCAAATTTTCAAGCAATGCATGAAAATGATTTTAGCTATTATGGAACTTATTCAACAAATATAATTATTCCAATTTATTGTATAACAGGTATTGCTTATGGAATGGTTGAGTTAATTCGAAGAATAATTCCTCGTGATATTGTTGGAAGTAATGAAGAAAAACTACAAAGAATGGATGCCTTAGTTCATGTTTTTTATGAAATAGCTGGAGTTTCTGGAGCATTAATAACTGGCCTTGTTTTAATTCCACGTCTTGGAAACAATTATTCATTCTTAATAACACCAATTCTATTTACTTTGTCAGCTATAATTTGGATGTTTATTAATTCACTCGGAACGAAAACAATTATTGAAGATGAACAATTTTCAGTAGGAAATCAAAATCATAAAACAAATTATTTAAAAGCCCTTATTGAAGGTTTTGCTCTATTTGGTCAATCGATTTATCTTGGAGGAAAAATAATACTTACAAATCGAAAATATTTTTGGTTACTTCCATGTTATTCATTAACACTTTATATTCATCGTTATATTGAAAATGGAATTGCTCCACAAATAGCTAAAAGATATCTTCAAAATTCTGAATGGTCACAAATTATTGTTGGAGGCTCAAATTTTGGAGAATTACTTGGTGCTCTTTGCGTATTTTTTTTAACGAAAAAAATTCGAAGTCCAATTGTTTGGTTAAGATTAGATTCAATTTTATTATTTATTCTTTGGTATTTACCATTCTATAATCCATCAACAATTAGTGTTAAAAATGCTTGGATAATAGCATTATCATTTATTCCATTAGGATTTGGTTCAGCTGGTGATGATATTTCGTTAAATGCATATATACAATCATCGTTAAGTAAACCACAATTGAAAAATAAAGATGTTTCATCACTGGGCGCTGTTATGGCTTTTCTCTATTCATCTTATATTACACTCTATGCTATTTTAAATCCATTACTTGGAAAATATATTGATTCAGTTTACAATTCAAAACAAACAATAAGACCAGCTTTTATTTTTACTGTTGGTGTACAAATAACAATTGTTTCAATTTTGGTTAGTCTATCAACATTTATTCCAAAAGGTTCTTGTAAATTAAATCCGTCTCTAGAATAAATATTTCAAGTCAATAATCTTATCAAAATGTGAGCTGTCTCTATAAGCACAATGATATATCTATACTCCGTCATAGATAAGGCTCAAAATAATTGAAAAGTCATAAGTAAATATAAATTTTCATGCAGAATTCTAACAGTAAGTTTCCACAAAGAAGAGCTGATTGTCAAAATGATAGATACCTTTATGTGACTGTTGCATGTGGCTGCCTCATTAATTTTAACTATATATTGATATTAATTAAATAATATATATAGTAACATGCCAAAAGTCTTGCTCTTGGATTGATGCAATTTTCTAAAAGCATATTTTTGAAAGTTTCTGGAAAGCTTTTTTTAGAAATCTCTAGAAAATGGGAAAAAATCTATATATAGTTGTGCTCCACACAAATTATTATCAGCATTCTTGAATTGAGAGAATGTATCAACAACAAAATTCTACTGCTTTAAAAATTAAGCAATCAATTATTTTATACTATTGGGAAAACGATCAAAGGTCTTCTGCAACTGTTGCCGGCGGGTGAGGGTGTGGGTGTATAGGAGATTAAACACTCAGACCCCACATCTCTCGATAGTTTTTCGATGTTTTATAAACAAATCAAACATATCTGTGCGATAGAAGATTTCCTCCTTTCTAGCAAAAAAAATGAAATAGATATATAGTGCATCGAATACAAAAATTAATCAGTAACAGATCTTTTTACATGGTTAACTAGAAATATTTTGCATTTTATGTTTCACATCTGAGAACAAAAGATCAAGAAAAACTAGTGATCTCTTCTTTTCAGTGTATAAGAAACTGTATTGATAGCTGCTTTTCTTTTTTGATTTCTTCAGCTAACCCTGAAATAAAAACTCTTGAGGGCGTGACAGTGGGAATGGAATTTGTTGCTGTTTGCCTCCTTCTCACACCCCACACCCGTACTCATGCCCAAATGATAGGAGGCCAACTTTTTGTTAAAAGCGAGAGAACGATATTTTTTGTGACAGTTAAGTGCAAGACGCAATTTTCAACCTTTTCGAGCATCACGTCACAGGTGCAACAAAATTGAAATATTTTTCTGGGATTTAGTTTCTCCGAATTTTTTTGTTATCGGCAACCTCACTTTAAAGTGGCTTAATGAAATCTAAATACTGATAGCGACTCATAAGCCTTGAAACTTTATCGTCGTATTTTTATTTTTTCAAATTTCATTCTACTATTAATTAACAATTTACAGTGTAGATAAAGAATCACGTTACTGGTTTTCTCTTACTCTGTTTTCAATCTAAATTACTTTGGAATTATTGAAAATAGCATATTTAAACTACGAAATAAAAAAGCAATTTCATATTTATTTCTGTTGTATTTATCTCTACTTTACTTTGATCATTCATTTACGTGAAAAAGAGACAAAGACGATGTCGACAATATTTCTTGATACTGCTATTCTTCTGCTTGTTGTGTCTTTGGCCACAGCTAGAATGCCAGACACACATATAACAGTGTCGGGTATCTCTTCAGGTGGTGCAATGGCTACCCAATTGCACATTGGATTCTCAAAAGATATCAATGGGTGTGGTATTTTGGCCGGTCCTCCCTTTTATTGTGGCGGCAGTGGAATGACAACAACTCTGTGCATGACTGGCCCTGCCGCACTTATTTCTGTTACAGTTCTAGAACAGAAGATAAAATACTACAGATTACTTGACAAAATTGATGATCCTGTGAATCTCAAAGGTGATCCTGTGTACGTTTTTTCTGGTATATATGATAAAGTAGCATATCCTGGTGTTGTCAAGCTAAACGAACAGCTCTATTCACGATTGGGAGCAACGGTTAAAACAAATTTTAATATGCCAGCTCATCATGGTTTTCCAACGGAAAATTTCGGTGCCGCATGTAGTACATTGAACATGGCAAATTATATCAACAATTGGTAAATAAACATTAGTTCTATTCGTATAAGTGAATAATTTTATTTTTTTAGTAACTTTAACTTAGCCTATGACATGTTAAATCATCTATCTGGAGGCAACCTTACCAAACCAGTGAATTCGAAAACTCCACTGGTCGGTCAAATGCTCATGTTCGATCAAAATGCATTCATGAATTTTCCTTTATCATTGGCGGTCGAGGAAAATGCTAAACTTTCTATGTCAGAATGGATCAAGAATAGTATGTACTTATATACTCCTGAAGATTGGGACTGGCCAACATCCGGTCTTTTCAATTTAACAATGCCGAAATCATCAAAATCTTTGAAAACGAAAACAATAACAACACGTAGCGCCTTGTCTGGTTTCGATGATGAAGGCTTCATATATTTTCCATCAGCATGCGCCAATGGTGAAAAATGTTCAATCCATGTAGCCCTACATGGATGTCAACAAGGTTTCTATCTGCACAGTTTCTAAGTTGATTTAACAATATCATTTCGTTTCTTCTTATTTAACAGGAAAATCAGTTGTTGGGGATGTTTTTGCTACGAAGGCTGGCTATTTAGAAGTGGCTGAACTGAACAATATCATAATGATCTTTCCTCAAGTTGTTAAATCACTCATGCTTCCAACAAATCCAATGGGTTGCTGGGATTGGTGGGGATACAGCTCGATCTACTATGCCACTCAGGATGCTCCACAAATGTCGGGTGTCAAGAATATGATCGATACTGTCCGAATGATTAAGAAAGTTTTTGCTGCAACTAATTAATAATAATAAATTATTTGTTCTGAAATATATTTAATTGAATAAATTATTTCATAGATTTATTTCAGCAATTTTGTTTTGTTATATTGATGAGTTTGGAGAATTTGAAATAAATTTTAAGCGTGAAATCAGTGAGTTCAATATTCGCCATGATATGTACTTGTTTTGACTACCGAATAGATCAAAGAGAAAAAAAACAAGAGCTTTTCCACATTCACATCCTTCAATCTAATATTACTAAATTAACAATAAAAAGTAATCGATGTGCAACCTATTAAAATAACTCTTTTGACAACCTAAAGAATTAGAAATAACTATTTTGCTTATGTCTATTAAAATGTCGATAGTGCATTCATCTATCTTGTTTGAGTAAGAGTAAGATTTGTATGTCCGATCAAATATAGTTGTTTTCTTGTGGGTATGGGTGTGGGCGTTCAATCTCTTATACACCCACACCCTATGATTTTGTAACCGTTGTAACATGAGTGGAATTCCATTGCATAAACCTTGCTTTACATCGAGGTTGTGAAGAAGCATTACAATTGCACCAATCTTTAATTTAAGTTTATGAGAGGGCATTCCTGATGGCGTGAGACTATTCAAACATTCCGTGGGATAGTTGGTCACGTTATCACTATCTTCACATTCTACGTCATCCATACTTGTGTATATTATTTCCTTACCAGGTAGACGTTGGAGAACTTCTTCATTCGCCATTGTTCTGTTGCATAGAGTTAGAGTGCCATTGATGGAAATGTGTTGGTCAAATATGTCACCGATCAAATTACCATCAAGCATGCAACAGCTGGGCAATTCGATTTCATCATATTTTTTTGATGATAATTCACCATTGCCAAGTTTAATTAACCACTTTGAGAATTCTTCTTCACTTGGCCATGTTCTCATGTTCTAGTTAAGATGCATGATCTTGAAATCAGATCAGACATCAGAACTTTTGAGTTTTGCTGTAATCAACTCCGATCTATTTGCGAATCGAATAACTGGCAGGACTTGACGAAAATCACCACCGAGTACCATGATTTTTCTTCCAAAACGCATATCGATGTTCATTATATCTCTTAGTAATATATCAACTGCCTTCAGAGCATATGATGGAGCCATTGGTGCTGCATCCAAAATAAAGACTTCTGTGTTTTTAATATCTTCAGCTTCTTTGCTGTGTGGTCGAATACTGGCTGTAGATGTTTCTAGGATAGGTACTGGAAGCTTGAAATGACTGTGTACTGTTCTTCCTTCAGGCAGTAGACTTGCAGCAATTCATGTCAGTGCATCTGACATAACATAGATGCCTGGCCCCATGAATAAATAGTACAGAGTGGTATAAAGGTAAGTTTTTCCTGCACCTCCAGGCTCCATCTATGAAGAAACATGAGCCAGTATTTGATTGGTTATGATAAGTTGCAAGAATTTCATCGACTGCTGAATATTGATTTTGATTCAACATCGAATACATTTCTTGCTCTACTCGAAGTTCTTCTTCCTTGCTAATAATTTTTGATTCAAATGTATAAGGAGCGGATGTTGATGATGTTATAGCAAAATCGCTACATCTTTGACCTTGTTCTTCCAGCTTTTTTCAATTGTTGCATAGAATGTCATTGCTTCTGCTGTTTCAGCATCAGCATGTTGCATGAAGTCTTGAGCCATATATCCTTTAAATGAATTCCAGAGTTCTATTGGTGTTGTTAGGTTACAATATAGGAGTATCACACAGGGTAATGTTCTTAGCTGTTGTGGCATCTGGAAGAGTACTACTTCAGCCTTACATCTTTCATATCCAGCATCATCACGTAATAGACCTCGTCGTCTAGCAGCTTCCATAAATGTTTGACAGACTTGGACACCTACTGTTTTAAGATCATCAAGCCTGCAGGCATCGGGGTGTGGGTGTAAGACGCCACTTCTCCAACATCCTTGCACTCACACGCCCACACCGTCAGTTATGACATTTTTGACTATGGTGGTTTTGTAAATACTGCAAAATTATTCGCATGACCATTGCTATGCTGGTATACTGCATTTAAAACTCAAAACTCGAATACACTAAGCCCCTTCTTATTTAGCTTTTCCACACTAATTCAGAGTATTATTATTCTGAAAAATTCTTTTCACTTGCACGAATAAAATATATTCTACCAGAAACAGTTCTAATAAGAATCATCGTTTTTGTGCATGAAAACATAAAACAAATAATAACACAAAATAAGATCAGCTAAAAAAAGAAGAAACTTTGTAGGACAGGCAATCATTTAAATGAGATTGGGAACAATAATTCTGCTAAATTAATACGTTCGTATCCCGCTAATGTTTTATAGTTTCTTGCGGAATCTGGCCCATAATTTTTGATCTGGGTGCAAACAAACTGGAGGGCATTATTCTTTTGCTTTTTTTTAATTAAAGTTACAATGGTGATGGCTCTCTTATGACTAACCAGGAATTTGGAATATTGATGAAATTTTTGAGTGTTGACGAATAATATGATGTTGTTTGTGGGCTTATTCTTTACTTTCTTCATTATTTATGTTTTTCTTTCTATTTAGATTCCTTATCGAGTTTATGTTTTTTTAATCTTATTACTAATAACTGTCTCGCTTAACATTGGTCTTTATCTTCCTAGCCATATATTAATAACATGCCATGGTGTTCTTTTTCTCATCTGAGTAACATATTTTCACTCTTTGGATTTTTCATATTTACGGAGTGCGCCATGGAATACATTGCTTAGTATCTTATTGGGTTTCTATTTTGCATATTCAGTGAAGAATCGAGATAGAAAGCAGAGATGTATTATAATTAGGGCGGCGCTTTCTATTTATTTGGTCATTCAAAGAGACTATTCAATAGGACATCAGTGAAGATCGATGCAGCTGTTAAGAATACATCAAGCTCATGGTATGATCGTTTCTTTCTATTATTGGCATACGGTGGTTTATACATGCTGGAGTCCACTTTCAATCTCTCATACTTTGCCGATATTTAATGTTGCATATTACACATCAGGTTTCAAGTACAATGTAAGATATTCTTCAGAGTTTCCTGCATTCGCTTATCAGTGTCAATAGAAAACTGCTTCACTGACTGTGTGGATGTGGGTAAAGTTAACATCAACACTGATACCCTACGGAATAGCTCTATTTCTTGTTAGACTATTTTTTCTAGTGCTTTTTTATATGGCTCTTTTCAACTCATTGGTTAGTTTGTACACTGATAAAACAATCCGGGTAATGATCTACCCCTGTACTTAAAAAAGTCGCCATTAAACCCTTCAAGGGTTTATTCCGATGTGATGAACCCTTTTAGCGTTTATTATTCGAAGGGTTTATGACGCTTTGGGTCTATGAAAACTCAAGGGGTATATGATGGGTACATAAGGATTCATTATTCTACTATTTTAATATAAGAGTATATCCTTCAACGGATGATCGTAGATTGTTGTTCGATTTGAAGGTAGGAGTATTTTATTCTTCGTTATCGGGTTTACTATTTTACTTTTTCGTTAAAATGGTACAGCACTCTGCCTTTTTGGGTAGAGTAAGCTACCCTTCTCAGAAGCAGTTCATTATTCTACGCCTACTGGTAGACTCTGCTACCGTTTCCTGCTAAGGATTTAGCATTCCACGCTCAACAGTTGATTCATCTACATCTTAATAAAAAGGGTTTAGTACTGTACGTGAATGCTCGATTCTACACTGTAAAAACTTTCCGGATATTAATAAACGAAAAAACCGTTTATGCCACCTCAATAAACGGAAAAAAGGTTTTTGAATTTCCAACGTATAATAAACCCTTTTTATGGGTATCTCATGAAAGTAATAAACGTTTTTTTCCTTTATGAGATGTAAAAAGGGTATATTAAGTGTCTCAAAAACGGAAAAAAGGGTTTATTATACGTTGCAAAATCATTGAACCTTATTTTTTACAGTGCATGCCTCTTCATTTACAGGTTCTTTTATTCTACTGACAAATATCGGCTTATCTACCTTAGCATCTCAAGGGATAGTTTTATCGTAGATTAATAGTTGATTCTACTTCTCTTTTGTTGAAAGAAGTCCATTGTTCATCGTACAGGAGTTGATATTTACGCTCTTTCATCGAAAGGGTTATCATTCTACGTAGAGAGATCGATTGTTCTACTGTTTGATCGGAAAAGCTTATTACTCTACGCGCAGGGGTTGATTATTTTACTTTTGCGTCAAAAATGGTTTCTTCGGGTGTTGGTGTGAGGGTCTGTGTCTGGTTAATGTTATTTCATACAGCCACCCACCCGTTAACTTGATGAAAAGAAAAACTAAGATGCCCATCGTTTTTTACAGTGGTCAAAACCGAAAGGAAAATATGAATCACTTATTTGGTAAACTTGCGATGCGCATGAAACAATGTTTTGATATGCGAAAATAGGAAGCAGCAAAATTAGAGTCACACTTCATTGACCCAGGTAAACATTTTATGTTAGAAAAAAAGAAAAAATATGTAACGACTATATATACAAAGTAATACCTCTTGTAGACTCACATTAAAAAATAAGCATTTTAACATCGGCTGGTAAGTAGTCCTATTCGATCATTGATATTTTTACATTAGCCATCTGTTTGACTTTTACAATATAGTAGTGTAGATAATAATGACAGCAAAAATGAGGAAAGATACACATGCATTTTTGTGTTTAATATGAAGATATTGAAAAAACTGAGATAGAAAGTGTTACAGAGGCCCCGCTGTAACTTCCCAAGTGAACAAAAGACTGGTTAAATGACTAGTCTTTTTTCTAGTCAAGTTGACCCGTCCCGTCTAGTCTTTGTCTCAAAAACTACTCGTCCACGACTAGTTCGAGGTTTTATCCGTCATGCAAATGCATCCTAGTACTCTGATTGACGACTAGTCATAAAATCTAATAAGAGTAGTCGTGACGAGTGTCCGTGTCGCCCGTCCGCAAATGGTTTATGAATGAAAAATTAAGGGCGTCTGGGACGAGTATACAACCAGCTCGAGCCTTATATAGTGGACGAGTCTGGACTAGTCTGAATGAAAATATGTAAGGATGAAGATTAGATTCGAACATGTATGCAATGTGACACTTACCCGTCGCCAGAATCATTGAGCCATATGATCCTGAAGTCATATATTCTACACACTCATGATCATTCTAAGATGTTATTTACTACAATTTTTACTCCGAATTTTTTATTTTATGTATCAATAAAAATTATCTTTTACCGAAACGTGATTACTTTAGATAACATTGAATAAAAATAAATTAGGAAGATTTTATAATTTTTTCGAGAAATTTATTTTGATTTATAAGCA